CAGTGACCTGTCCACGCGCAGTAAACAAGCAACAGAAAAATATGAGGAGTTCAACCAATCAGAGCGTTTTCTGTGTTTTTGTTTATTTCTCTCCAAACTGGCTCTGTTTGTGTGTCCTTGAGTCATGTGCTGAGATGAGGAAACACGTGTATGGTATTTCCTGGAGTCGTGAGCTCTATTTCTTCGGTGATGCATATGTGGACTTTCTGCGCAGGGGCGCCCTCTAGTATCCAGTATGAATGAAACAGACATTACATGTGTTCATAGCACTAAATAATGGCCAATCTATAAAAATAATACTTCTCTCAAAAGAAATTTAAGGTAGACATGTGATAATCCATGTTTTTCTACAGTGTACAACAATGTACTGGAGTTTTAATTAAAGTATAGTGAAATAAATTTAAGGTAGACGTGATAATCCATGTTTTTCTACAGTGTACAACAATATACTGGAGTTTTTTTTTTTTTTAAATAGCATTTAAAATCGCTTAAAAGAACTCTGTTGTGCCAAACCATCAGAACTAAACTGAAAACTGTGTTTAAAAAACGGAGGTATTTATTGAAGTTTGGGCTAACTGTATTGTTGCATTCCTACTGTTTACTCTAAAATACTGTATAACAGGAATATCACAAACTGAGTGCAGACTCTGAGTACTAACCCATGAAAAATAAAAAATAAAAGTCTAGCATTGTGCAATTACGATTTAGACATTAGCCATCAAGGAGCTTCAAGTAATGTAGGAATATGCTATATATGACCCCCGATATAACTGCCCTGTGGCACGAGGCGACAAATCTTCTACAGTAACTGATGCCTTCTTCTTTCCCGAATCTTTGAAACGTGCGTTGTATGCATTGAAAGTGAAACCTAAAAAACAGTGCGCACAAGAAAGCACGCTTTCGGGAGCTTCAGCAAATGCACGCGATCACAGATTGCACGCTTCCCAGCCTAAACAACCCCCCATGTGAAATTTAAATAAGATTTTGGCCATATTGCCCAACTAAATCATTCATCCTACACTATCAACAGGCACGTCATGTAGGCTACACTTCTTGTACTTCATTTGGGCACCACAAGGTGTCACTGTGGCCTCAAAGCTTACCCCTCGCCTACTCTGGCTCCATTGGTATTCCTGAGGTTAAAACACACCCTCCTCATTACCCTACAGACAAAGAAATGTGAGTACTCTGGCTCGATTGCTATTCTTGAGGTAAAAAAACACGCCCTCCTCATTACCCTACGGACAAAGAAATGTAGAAATAAATAAATGTCAAAATAAATTAATTTAGAAATAAATAAATTAAGAAATAAATACATAAATGTGAAAATAAATAAAAGTGGAAATTAAATGTATAAATAAATAAAAGAAAAAATAAATAAATGTGGGGAAAAAATACATAAGGAAATAAAATTATAAATAATTATTTATTTTTGCTTTTTTACTTTTATTTGTATATTTATTTAAATATTTATTTCTAATTATGGTAGGATTGGCATTCCATATGATGCGTTGCAATACGGTAGGGCATTGTTTTGATGCTTACATCAGAAAAAAAATATTTTGCTTTATTTATTATTTATATATATATATATGATTTTTTTTCTTGCCCCCCCTGACTCAAGAGTTAAATGTCACCCATGCTCAAAACCTTTTCAGCTTTCTCTTTCTGCAAACTGTATGGTGTAGCGATATGACAGCACCCAAAATACTATCAAACACTCCAACGCAGCTCCATTCTTCGCGAAAGATGGATAAAAAGGCGCACAGGAAACAAAAACCTTGAAAAATGATATTTGACCCGCCAAATCCAGGCTTGTTTTTGTCACTATTTTCTGAGTGTTTTTGCTGGAGTTTACATTCTGGATTACCTTGTGTTTGTGCCTCGTGTATTTTGCCCTGTTTTGGATCTTTGTTTTTGGATCATTAAACTGCACTTGCATTTTCCCCAAGAATTCTGTGACAATCATAGATTTAAAATATTGTATAAACGAAACTGGCCAATCCAGTAACATTTTATTTATATTCAAAATGTAAATTTTCTATGTAATACTCTGACAGCTTATTCATAAGTGTATATATGAAATGTTTTTTTTCTCTCTAGGCATTCACCCTACAATGGCTAGCCATGGTATGAAATCTTTTTTTGTAACCAAAAAAAAAAAACTTTATTGCCTAAAATTCAGTTAAAAATGAAATGAATGGTATGAATTCACTGATAGGTACTAAGAGAAAACGTGATGATGAACCAACCAGTTCAAGAGTTACCAGTGCGCAGCCTCAGCTGACAACAGGTAAGCAAACTATGAATTAAAATGTCACAACTAGTCTTTAACTGTGTATAAAAATGCTCAGTTAATAAGATGAATTTAAATGTATTTCAGTGTAGAGATTGTCCATCTTACTCGTGTTGTTTTTGATCATTCGGAATAGTTACGTTTTATATATTTATATAACCAGTTTTGCATAATGTATAATTAAATGTATTACAGTTTTTAAAAAATGCTTACACAGTTTTTGAAACTATGGCTCCATTTCTCAAAACTCCCCACACACAACATGCAAAACGTCACACACACACTTTTGCTTGTTCAGAGTGCACAGGAGTTTGTCATAGCACAAGCACAAACATTCATATGCACATATACACTGTATATACAGTATGTATGTACAACTGATGAATTGTATGAACTGAACTGAATCAATACTGAACTGACTTGAGCTGTATAATGACACTTGACTTTTTAGAGCTGCTTTAAAGCAGAAATTGAATTTGATACTATTGTGAAGCTGCTATAAAACAATCTATATTGTATAAAGTGCTTGTCTGCATATATATATAGAGTGTGCATGTGTGTGTGTGTGTATATATATATATGTATATATATATAAATATATATATAC